CTCCTCTTGTGCATTGGCCATGCTGGATTCCTGCTTTCCCTTCCTGCACGTGGGGGTCGGCACCACGTGCGCAGAGGCGGCAGCGGCTGCTTTCCAAGGCAGCATCCCGAAGCAGCACTGGGCTTCGCAGCCTTCAGAGCTGCGTGAATTAAAAACCCAGGCGTTATAGCAAGTTGGCCGCTTCTCTGGAAGCTCTGGCTCTCACCGGGGCGTGGTGCAGACTGTGTGTGAGAAGTAGCCTGGCACTGGGGTGCTGCCAGCCCTGGACTCAGGGAGGTCTCGTTGCCATCGTGCTGCTGGACCCTGCGCTCCTGCGGCCACCTCTGCCCTGGGGGTGCTCGTGCCGGGCTGCCTCTGTGGATAGAAATGCAAAATAATGTGTGTGGAGGGCAGCAGAATTTGTCTGACTCCATTTGTCCTCACTGCTCCCATCTTTTGTCTGTGCATTGCTTTTCCTATGGATTTCTGTCCGACTTCCACACTGTGCTTGGGTACTGTGCTATTGCATGCAGCTCCATCATTTCAAAAGCACCAAGCAACCCTCAGTGCCCCTTATGGATTTGGAAACATTGTGTAGTTGATGCAAACAGCGCTCCACACCTGCGTAGCCCGTGCACGTGCTTCAGAGTTGCGGCGGCGTTGCAGGAGCCGTGGCTGTGAAGCGGCAGCCCTGGGGCGATGGGCCTGGCTTTGGGTTCACGGCTGGGACCGCGGCTTGAGGAGGGCCTGGGGCTGCCTTTCCCAGACCGCTGCTTCACGTGTTTATAAGGTAATCCCAGGACAGAGATAATCTTGCATTTTCAGCTCTCCCGCAATCCGAGATCGCTAATTACCAAAGCATTTCTCTTGTGTATGTGTGCTCCTCAAAACGCGCGGGGGGCTTCTGGCTGTAGATTAAGCTTCATCAGGGTGGGAGGGATTTGGTCAGCCCGGCTTCCCTGGTGGGAAGGAGCTGAAGGTATGCGGGGCTGGTGGCAAGAGCCACGTTGCTGCTGCTTGCAGGGGCGGTGAGGCTGGAGGAGCCGGGCAGCGTCACCGCGCCAGCCCCAGACATGAAAGCGCCCTGGCAGCCTCATCCCAACCAGCGCAGAGCGTGGTGTGCTCACGTCCTCCAGCCTCCTTGAAATTAATCTCCGTCTTAAGTGCCAACTTTCCTCCTCTTCAAAGCAAACGGCTGCATCTGAAAGGATTTGAGAAGGGATTTTCATGCCGGGGAGAACTTTGAAATGTGTCGTGTATGGCAGGAATATGGTGACGGCTCTGTTGGAAATGCCTTCAATGCCCCTAACTCCATCGCCTTTAAAACAGAGATTGGCCCCAGAGCACTTAATGTGCACAATCCCTGTAATTATCTGAGTAGTTTCCTTGAAATCTGCTCTTGTACTTCTGGCGAAGCGCAGGTAAATATTTGTAGCAGTTTCCCTTGTTGTGTGAGAATACGGCCGCCTCTCCAGCCGTTCAGCCGTGGGAGCGGATTTGTGGTTTGCGGGAGCAGAGGCTTTGGATGAGGAAGGCGAAGGAGGGATTTCATCTTCTCAAAGATCTCTGCTGCTCTTTTCTTTTTTTAAACCCAGTTTCAGAGTTTTGTTGAATTTTCCCTTGAGTTTGAGAAAGTATTTGGGGATAACGCTCCCATTCACCGGTTTCCCAAGATGGGAAAAGAAATAACATGAAAATTGCCCACACTTGCCCCATCTCTCTTTGCAATGGAAAAGAAATTGTGTGTGTGTGGAGGGGGAGTCCTGAATAATCAAAATCCTGATTTCCAGGGGGCTCAGCGAGCGGCGTAAGCGCAGCCCTGCATGACCTACCGACCCGCTGCATAACCCCAGCCAGGGCTGGGTCCGTGCCCCCGAACCGAGGCAGACGGGTGCTACGTGCGCGGCCAGTTTGTCCCCTTCCCTACGACAGAACCCCCCACTTTGAGTGCAGCTGGTGAGTTATTCCATGCGCTGAGAGCAGTGAAAGTTCCTCTTGCCTCTGCTCTCCCGCCGGTGAGGTGCAGCTCGTGCAGTAGGAGGAGGGTTTGTGCTGTTTGATGTCTCAGCAAAGCTCAAACGTCCTCCCAGCCTCCGAGCAGCGGTGACTTTCTCCTGGCACCTCCCGAGAGGCGAGCGGCTGCTCTCCTGCCCGGCGTGGCGATGGGGAGGCAGAGGCATGGGGACTCCCCGGGGGCGGCGTATTGGGAGTAGCGGGCTTTCATGGGACAGCCCGGGTTTTTTTGGGGCAAATGCAAGGTGGCAGGACCTCTGGGCGGGACATGTCCCCACTCCCTGGGCTGCCCGTGGGACACATCTCTCTTGCCACCAGCTTTGGCAGGGTACTCAAGTGGGGCTGGGGGAGCAGGAGGGGTGGCAGGGAGAGGGAAGGGTGGGCATGTGGC